ACACACTCACACACACACACACAGACACACAGACACACACACTCTCAATCACACACACACACACACACACACATATATACACACACTCACACACACACACACTCTCAATCACACACACACACACACACATATATACAGTATACTGTATTTCTCATGCGCCGCTCCTCCGTCTCTCGCACTCCCTCTCTACGGGTGGCGGGTGTAACCATGGTAACGCTGTTCTCTCTCTCTCTCTCCTCCGCAGGGAATGGTTCACCTGGAGCTGCGTCTCAGTGAGGTCATCACAGACAGCGGAGTCGTCTGCCACAAGCTGGCAACACGGTGAGGCAGCCAATCAATTGGGGGCGGGACCTTCTGACCGTCTGACCAATGACTGACGAGTGTTTCGAAACATGTTTGGAAACAGTCATTATTGTTGCAGTTGTGTTTGATTGAATAGAAATCCCACCCTGCAGCTCCAGTATTTTTAGCAGTGATGCTTTAAAGAGGCTTTCATCCTGCTGACAGTCTAATAGTTCCCCTGTCAGAGGTTGTTTCTTCTGGTTCTTCTGCTTTAAAGTACAGCAGCTGTAACCAGACCTTCAGCAGTAAATTTCAGCACGCCTGTTATTTGTTGTTTGAAGGACGGCACTTACTGTCCAAAACGGAAACAAACACATCTGAATTTCAAAGGGCTTTCTTACAGGGATAATTCACCCAAAAATGACCATTTCTTCCTTTCAAGCATTCTTCCAGTAACGTTAATAGAATGTTCGTTCAAAGTTATCTGGTCTTTAATAATGTTCTCAAAACGTTAGCACAAATTACTTTATGTAAAAGTTCTTTCTGAAATGTGTCAGTTGGACCATCAAATGTTTTTTAAAAGCTACTACGTGTTTCAGAATGTTCATAGAACATTCAAAAGTAACGTTCCTGTAATGTTAGCAAAATAATAAAATGGAAGAAAAACATTTTTAAAAACTAGATGTTCTGAACATTCAGAAATAACGTTTTCATAACTTAATAGGAACGCTAGCAAAATGTTCTTAGAACATATTTTTGTTAGCTGGAATTCTGGAATGATTGTAATCGCTGTCATATCAGCATTTGATTCTAGCTTCGTCTACACAAATCTTCTTTAGTTCCCTGCAGAAATGAGAAAGAGAGCACGATATTCTCATCTAATGAGTTGTTTGCTGTCATTTATTCATCTTCATTTGTGTCTTCAAAACCAGCAGCAGAAAAGGGTCGTTCCATCTTCATTTTCCTCTTATTTTCTCAGTATATTTGCACTGAGTTTGTCACTCTTGGCTCTCATCATCCTGAATGAATGATCTGTGTGTTGTGTGGGTTTTCAGATCTTTTGAAACATTCAGAAACAAATCGTCATTTTTTTCTGGTCACGTGTCATAAAGACATCACATCATGTCTGTAGCTCAAACAGTATAGCTTGGCTTGCGACACCAAGGTCATGGGTTCAATTCCCAGGGAATGCAAACCTGTACGCACTTCCTGATCTGATGTGGCTTCTTATCACAGAATGACGCAGAGATATATTCTATACTGTAATAAAGGATATGTCGATTAGCAATGGACTATAAATATACTTAATTATTAAAATACCGAGGTGGCTTTAAGCACACTATTATACACTATTAATATATATGAGCATCACGGCTCAATGCATCAGTGTCTGAAGGCTTCGTTGGACACATGTTGTAGGTCTCAGTCAGTTTTAGCCCAGCGCTGGACTTCATGGCTGGTGTATTTATGACCAGGCCAGACGCAGCTTTATACAAACAGGCTTAACACACTGGAAGTGCCCTGGAAGGATCGGATGGTATTACAGATGCTGTAAACCCTGTTCATTCATCAGCATCAGACCCACATTCACACTCACAGCCAGGCACTGCTGCACGCACACATCCACATATACAGTCGTGGCCAGAAGTATTGGCAGTGACATAAATGTAGTGTTTTGCAAAGTTTGCTGCTTAAGCTGTTGTGGTGTTCGTTCACATTGTTACTAGATTGTGTCACAACCAATGCTTGTAGAAACAATGTGAATGGCCACGACTGTAGAACAGCACTCTGTGTGTGTGTGTTTATGATGTGAGTCTGAAAGCTGCGTCACGGTTCGGGATGAGCGTTTGTGTGTGTACTCCCTGATGTTGTCATTTGTGTCCGAGCGCAACAGAGCTCGGTTCTGATTGGCTGAAAGTGACGTCATGTTGCAAGGCGGTACAAAAAATAGCTGCGGATTGTTTTAAGGCCGTTTGTGATGTGTTGATTGTTAATAAAAAAAATAATTAATGTCAAAAGATCATGTTTTTATACTTTTCATGAATGCAAAAATATTAAAAATGTTCTAAAATTCAAATTTTATATTTTTTATTTCATTTATTTTAAATATTAGAGGTTGTACACTATCAGTCAAAAGTTTTTAAACAGTAATATTTTTAATGTTTTTTTACTTGCTCACCAAGCCTGCATTTATTTGATCCAAAATACAGCAAAAGCAAATATGAAATATTTTTACTATTTATATTAACTGTATAATAATGTATAAAAACAATAATAGTGCTTTCTATGTGAATATGTGTTAAACTGTCATTTATTTCTGTGATCAAAACTGTATTTTCAGCATCATTCCTCCAGTCTTCAGTGTCACGTGATCTTCAGAAA